AAGCAAAATTTTTATAAGCTTGATCAATCGAAAAAATGTATTAAAGCATACTTGAATGATTTTATCTTTATGTTGATTTTTTATTAAATAATGTTTTTTAATGCATAATATGTATTATATAATTACATAATAAACTTGTGTATTGCAATGACAAATCAAATTACTCTTATAACTTGATATAATCTGTAATCTAAATTTAAACATGACAATAATAAAATAGGGAAAATGATACTAAATTTAAGTCAGAATATAAAACTGTAAGATAATAACTGATACAGAAACAAAAATGTGTTGTGTCTAATAAACATTTACAAATAAATAACACAGCTATTATTTGAGTATGTTTAATACTTGGTACATAAAGATACTTCATGCATCAGATATAATAACAGAAACACTGCATAAGCTTAAAATGTTTAATAAACAGTAGTTTGAAATGTTATCGAGAAATAAGTTCTTCTTAAGATAAGAATGTTCTGGGCAAAAATACGCATTTAAAAAAATAAAAAGACAGGGTGGGGGGGGCAACTGAGGTTATTTAAAACCTGAGTTTAATTCAGTCCTAATTTAAAGCTAATTTGTAGCAATGATTTTTATATACTTTCATATATATATACATTTTTTTGCATTGCAGTAAGTAATGAATACTAAAGTACATCAATATCTCTATTTTTTGCATTTTTGTTTTTAATGCATTTTGTGCCAACTTCATTGTTCTGACTTTGTAACTTCCCCATGTTTTATAGTACCCACTTTTTTTTTTTCTGAGTACCCACTATATTTATAGTACCCACTATTATATAGTATCCACATAATTTATACATTATAGTACCCACTATATTTATATTACCCACTATATTTATAGTACCCACTTTTTTTTTTTCTGAAATCACTTTAAGGTGGTAGAGCTAGAAAAAATATGTAAAAATTTTTAAAAAATCGTTTTTTTTATTATTTTTTATTTTCGAACGAAAATTACTTAGCTTTCATGTATTAAAAATTTTTTTTTTAAAAAATTATTTCTTATTTAGTTTTTAAAGCTTTTATGTAACTACATACAACTACTAGTCCTTAGTTACGCCCTTAGCAACGGTAAACAGTTTTTTTACCTTGATACCTTTCCATAAAGAACAACAAGATTTATATCATACATTGATAAACATGCAATTGTTAAAGGTCATTAACATTAATTAAGGAACATTGTAAATTTTGGCAGTTTTTTGAAGCAACTTTAGTGCATGCTGTTTAATTTTGATGTTATAAACCTTTTCAGATTTCACCTCAAGTATTATAAATAATGAGTACTTTAAGAAATAACATTAAAGTATCTAATAAACAAAACTTTGGACGAAAAAAGAAAAGATTTTTTCATGGAAATTGCAGCAGAAAGACAACAGAAAAGCAATATGAATATTGTTCCAGCTTCAAGTTGTGCAATTGCAAGAAAATTACTGCCACTGATAAATAGAAATCAAGTTGTAAATGACAAAGTGAATAAAGATTATTTCATACTTATCAATTTTTCAATTTTAAGTGATATCGTGGAAGATGTTAGATGTCCAGATTGTTACAGCCTTGTTACCATTGTTGATAATCTTTCTAAGCGCATGGGTTTTGCCCATCACCTTGAAATCAAGTGTAGTTTATGTGAATGGAAAAAGGTTTTGTATTCTTCTAAGCAGATTAGTAAATTTAATGGAAATACAGCCCAGGGTAGGAAAACATTTGAAGCAAACACAAGAATGATAATTGGATTTAGAGAAATAGGTAAAGGGTATCAATCTATGAAAAACTTTAGTCGCTGTATGAATTTACACTGTTTGACAGCTACTCCATTTAGAAAACTAAATATAGAAATATCAAAAGCTTATAATAAAACTGCTAAAGAAAGTATGAAACGTGCCACAAATGAAATGAAAGATAACTATACTGATGATAATAAACCAATAATGAAGCATGTTAAGATTGATGGTGCATGGCAACGATGCGGCCATACCTCCCTTAATGGATTTGTAAGTGCAATTGTGGGTGATAAGTGCGTTGATTATGAAGCAATGTCAAAATTTTGCATGGGCTGTAGAATATGGAAAAATAAAAAAGCTTCACCACGATACAATGCTTGGAAAGCTCAACATGCCTGTCATATAAATCATAAACAATCTTCTGGGTCAATGGAAGCAGCTGGTGCTGTAAAAATGTTTGAACGTTCAATTAAAAATAACAATATTATTTATACTCATTATCTTGGAGATGGAGATAGCTCATCTTTTAAAGAAGTAATAAAGTCTGATCCCTATAAAGACTATAAAATAATTCCTGAAAAGTTAGAGTGTGTTGCACATGTACAAAAAAGAATGGGTACACGGTTACGAAATTTAATCAAAATTTACAAAGGAAAGCCAACTCCACTAGGTGGAAAAAATAAACTCACAGAAAATGTGATTAATAGTATGCAAAATTTTTATGGTTTAGCTATAAGAAGTAATACAAATAACATTTATGCCATGAAAAAGGCAATATGGGCTATTTTGTTCCACTGTACTGGATATTCAAATCAAGAGTTTCGCCACTGCTTTTGCCCAAGAACTGAAACTAGTTGGTGTCAATATCAATATGACAAATTACATACAGGGGCGGACTGGCCAAATTATTATGATGTGGAAAAATATTTTTAACGGCCCTGTAGGCCAACGAAAAATGAGGAAAAGCAGCAAAGATAACAGACGTAAATTACAAAGTTATGCTTAATTTATAAATATATACATTAATGAATAAATATCGAACAGAAAAAATTATTTTTTTATATATTTTATTGAATTTTACATTTTTATGAGATTATGAAAACGGCCCATGTGGAATAGTCCACATCTTCCACATGGCCAGTCCGCCCCTGATTACATAATACTTCAAATTATAAAGAACATATTAATTTACCATTATGGATTAGTAACCTTTTGAAACCAGTGTTTAAAGATTCTTAAAATGAAGAATTATTGTTAAAATATGTACATGGGCAAACCCAAAATGCAAATGAAAGTCTTAATGCATTGGTTTGGTCTCGTTGCCCTAAAAACATATTTGTTTGTAAACAAACTTTTGAAATGAGTATTAATTCAGCAATTTTACACTACAATGATGGTACTGAAGGTGTTAAAAATGTTTTACTTTCATTTGGACTATCAGGCGTTGTTACAAATTCTAAATCTTATGAACAAAATGTTTCACGTGTAAAGAGCATGAAGATCAAGTCAAGTGAAAAAGTAAAAAATAGAAGAAAAAGTCTCAGAGCAATAAAAAAAAGATACTCTGATAAACAAAGTCAAAATAAAAAATCATTTTATGTATTAGGAGGATTTTAAACATATTGTATATATATTTTTAAACATATTACAACTTTATTTTGCGTTTTATTGAACTTTGATTTTTTGCAAGATTTTGTAACTTCAAAACCAAATATCTTAAGTTAGAAAAATTCAATTTACTTGAAATTTTCACAGTATCTTCAGTATACATATAAAGTTCATTTGAACTAAAATCTTATAATAATTAAATGTATTTATTGCTTATTATTTGTTTTTTATTCTCAATTTGGTATTTTTTTTTTAACGCATACATAATAAATTATGTATATTTTTTATTCTATTAAGATTCAATGTCATTTTAGTTCAAATGAATTATCTATTGTTGAAGAACAAACCTACAAAAATTCATTGTGATTTGTTGATTATATTTTGTGATATTGTGTTTTAAAATTTCCTTATTTTTTGGTTTATTTTTTTATATAAGTATGGGTAGGCGAGGCAAATTAATAAAAAAAAATTGTCAAATGATTTTTAACATAAATTCAAACTTTTTTAGAAGTTCTTGGGAAATAACAATAGTTTTTAAAAGAATTAGGTTTTTTCTAGTCCTACCACCTTAATAAAGTCTACTAAATGAGTAGAAAAAAAGTATATCATGAAAATCAGTGTTCATCATAAGTTACCAGTGGATTTAAGGGAAAGCACAATTTTGTAATTTCTAGCCGGAGCCGTTTTTAGGGGTCCATAATTTCTTACTGAATTGTATCATATCAGCAAATTTCTGAAAATTAGGAAGCCTACCATATATAGAAACTAAAAAGATATGTATTTTTACTTCTTAAATTGCTAGTTTTGTATATTGACCCATCAAAAATCAACTTTTTATATCTGCAAACAATTTTTTTGATTTTTTAGGCAGCCATTATGGATAAAATGTGACATTTAAAAATTTAATGTCAAAGTTTTAACAAAGTAAGCCTAGCATTGTATATGATAAAAAAAACTAGAAGGTTTTCTGAAATTTAGTTTTCAAAATACAGAGCTTCAAAGTATGAACAAAACATGTTTTTGCTACTGAAGTTTTTATTTTTGGAAAAATCAGAAATTTCAAATGACCATATCTCATGAACCACATAAGATTTGGAGCTGAAATTTTCAGGAATTGCTTTTCTCATTGATATAAACCAACCCACTAAGTTTCATCAAAATCTGAGGGGGTCCATGTTTGACCCTGGTTCACTTGGCATGGAATGACCCAAAAGCATTTTTGGAAAATATTGATTGTCTAAAGTTACCCTAAATTTGGTTATATTTTAGCTAAGTGGAAATAAATATCCTTTTTGTAGCAAAAAAAATGTTAAGTCCTATTATTTTGAGTTTGTATTAAAGTTCGAAAAATAATTCAATAAAATACTTAAAAATCTATTCAGATAATTACAATGTAATACCAAATATTCTAAATTGAAAACACACGATGTTATCGCCATATTCGACTGTGTAACTGGAAATGGAGGAAAACATTATTTTTGAGAAATAAAATTTAATTTTCTTTGGTCAAACTTTTGTAAAAAAGGATAATTCATCATATTATTCTTTGTTAGAGCAACAGGCAAAGAAAATACCAAAGAAAAAAAATTTAAAAACATTTACACGTTTAGTTCAATGTTACCCGCAAATTCAAAGTTACCCAGAATGACTGTATCGTTTTGTGTTTTTGTTGGTATGAGAATGATTTTGAGTGTGTGTAAAATTGCACGAATATATCTGATACGGCTCGAAAAAGAATTCATAAGGATAAAGACCTGGGAGCTAACTAAGAAGTCCTTTTTCGATTTCTTACCTTACTCAAAATGGTTGGTGTTTACTATGAATAAAATGTTATTACTTGCTTATTAAATCTATCTTAACCTTCTCAATCATGTAAATTTAGTCTTGTATAGTAAGCTTATTTAACTTGCTTGACTGTTAGTTTTTTTATTACATACATATTTAATATTCGCATATATTTACCCGTCCATACAATTCTTAGGTAATTAGGTATTTTTTATGCTTTTTTCATTATGTATATGATTATATATTCATAATATATATAAATATATTATAAAAACAATAAGTACATTTACAAAATATAAATGGAAAATAATTAGGAAGTCTCTACTATTAATCTCACCTTAATTGTGTATACAAAATCTAAACTTTACTGTGTTGTACAGAGTAACCTTTATTGTGTAAATACAGAAGAAATTTACAAGAAGATAAATTGTTTTACAGAATACGTTTCAAAAAAGAAGTTTTTCGGTTATTGATACTTCTTGGAATATATATGCATCAAAAATTCAATAACAGACGTAATAAAATTATTCTACATCTAGTCATTTTAAGATTGTACTGAGTGCAATGCTCTTTGGCGATATTTTGTTCATGCCAAATGCAATAAGCAAATCATAAAATATATCTTTTTATTGTATGCATTAAAGTTGAATTCTAATTAATGTAGCATAAATACTATACTGTCATCTCAAGTGTTTAGTTCTGATACCAAATTTAACTGATCATTTATTGTTTACTGAAACAATTACAAGAACTTACATATAATAATTCTAAAATCTAAAATGATCAGGATCAACTTCATAAATGATAAATATGCTTCAAACATGCCTGAAAAATATGAATTGTAAATCTTTTGTTCACATCAATGTTCTTGCAAATTCGAAGAATACCAATGTGTCTTTGTTGTTTAAATTCTAATAATAGTTCATAAATAAATACATAACATTAACTTTTTAGGCCAAACGAACAAAGAAGGTAGGAATAGTTGGTAAATATGGTACAAGATATGGTGCCTCCCTCAGAAAAATGGCCAAAAAAATTGAGATCAGTCAGCATGCCAAATATACATGTCAATTTTGTGGAAAAGTAATATTTTATTGCTAATGGTTTTTATTAAATTTTATTTAAAAAATTAAACTATATCAATAGAATTTCAGGTCTTAAAATTTTTAATAATTTTATTACTTTCATTTTCATGACCAATTTTAGGATGCTTTGAAACGAACTGTAGTTGGTATTTGGAAGTGCAAAGGATGTCGTAAAGTACTAGCTGGAGGTGCCTGGGCACCAAGGTAGCTATAATAGTCTAAATTTTTTATTGTTTGTATAGTATAATAGCTGTGTAATTTTAGGACCATATGTCAGTTTTTAGTTTTAGTTAAATTTACTATATAATTTTTAAGTAAATACAATAGTTAATATTAATTAATAACTTGGCTAAAATAAAAAAATCTAAAGCTCCACTATAAATACTTTACTGTGAGTTTACACGGTGATTAATGCAGTTTTGTATCCAAAGTTATATTTGCATATGTAGTTATTATATTGCCATTTATTTAAATTAAATGGCAAACGTGTATTTCAGGCACCCTTTAGTAAGTCTGTAAAAAAGTCTTATTAAACAAATGTTGAAAACTATACCCTAGCCAAACCCTGATCCTTGGGGTTAAGTTATGGTTTTCAATAAAATAAACTTGATTGTTGGGTTGAGGGTAGTATAGTTTTCAAGAAATATTATGCATAAAATGTGACTCGTTTTTTATGGGTTTACTAAATGGGAATGTCTAAAATACGTGTCCACCAATTGAACATTGTACTTTGTCTGTAAGCTGCCTAACTGTAGTATTACTTAACGGTAATAATATTACAGTTAGGCAGCCTAAAATAGTTTTTTTTTTTTTAAAAAAAAGACAACAAGAAAGGATGTGAAAATGCATGAAATACAACATATATATAATATATGATAATTATTATTATTTGTATATTTATAAAAGAAAATTTGCACTTCTAGTTTCCTATCCCTATCATTTTATGATTGATTATGAAAATTTTATGCTGATTAAGAATTGTATAAAAACAAATTTTGGAAAAATACTCTGATTTTAAAGTTGAAAATTTTTTTTTAACTCATGATTAAATTTTTTTAATAAGTTAACTTTAAAATTGGTTTTTATTAATAATACATATCAAAATTGTTTAAAGGAAACTAAGTGTCTGAATGTCCTCTGACCTTAACCATGTACTTTTCTTTATGTGATTCTTTAGATACACCTTTTGTCAGTCAATGTGGGCACTTCTAAGTAATGTCTTTTTATTTCCAAAATTTATTACTTATATGTCATTATATTTCCAAAATTTATTACTTATTAAAACATTCTATTAAATTTAATCAATTTTAATGTAGTTTTTAAAAACTACTAATGTAAATATCTTTTGCGTTTTAGTTGTAATAATCTCAGTTATTTTAATGAATTTATAATATGAAGTTTGTTAATTAGAAGAAAGAAAAGTAATTGTTCCAAAGTTATTGTATTAAAAGATTTCTTATCCATTTTTAACATTCATACAACTTGCTATGCTTTGTAAGCAATATTGTTAGGTCTAATGGTTAGGTTTACAATAATGTTTGTTTTCCTGCATGTGTCAGCGTTTTAAGCTATTTGTGGGCTAAAATTTAAATTCATTAAAGATCAAATTTTTCAAGCTTAATTTTTTATGTAAAATTAACCTTGAAATTATTGACAATTAGTTTTTATAAATAATACATGATCTGTTTACTTTTTTCCAGAATAGTTTGTTGTTAATTTTAAATTATGAGCAAGCACTCCATTCTAGACTTAATACAAGTTAAAATTTTCTAGCAAGTTAATGCTTTTCGATTTGTGCGATAAGAATAAGGCAGAGTGAATGTTTTGTGATGTTATTATTTACTGATCCTTGAACTTCAAAGTAGACAAATCGTGTTTTTATTTGTAGAACTAAATACAGGTGAAAATGGATAAAAATAGAAAACTAAACAGTAATTTGACATGCATAATTAAACACATGCAATTATTGTTTGGAATTAGTAAATTTGAATGTTTTTATAAGAAATGCTTGTTTTGAGAATGTTGATATGGAAAAAGCTTAAATATCATCTACTTAAATGAATTGTTACATAATTTTAAGTTAGTGTTCCTATGTGAAATTCTTCACCTGATCCTAGGCCTCGGTACATGTTAACAAGATCTGAACGTTTGTTTTTCGAGCTTAAAAAGTTTTTTCCCATCGCTTTAAGTTAGGAAGGGAACTCATTTTGTAAAACACCGAATGCCATTAAGATTTGAATATGCATTAAGAATAAAAGGTTATCACATTTTTAAGTATTTTATTTTTAAGCTTAGTTTTTAAAAATTAAGTTGAAGATTTACTTAGTTAAAATTTTTTTTAATATTAAATTATGTTGAGTTTCCTTTTTTCTGTTAAGATACATTTTATTTTTAGCACATCTGCAGCCGCTACAGTACGAAGTGCAATTCGTCGTTTAAGAGAAATGCAGACAGTTTAAAAAAAAGATAAATTAAACCTTTAGTTTTTGTTTTAATATTCAGTGTTGAATAGCCTTATACCATAAGCGCGTGCGTGGTTCCTCTATGTTGTATATATTTGATGAAGGGGCAGTGTTAATTAGTTTATTAGTGAATTTATTAATAAATAGAAAAGCGATTTTTTTTTTTTTTTAGTACCCCTCGACCTACCTATATTTAATCTATTTATCCAACATTTTAACTAATTTTTTAATTTAGTGTCTCCTTTCTTTTTTATGACCCACTGCCCTCCCATCTCATTTACAGACCCCTCTTCCCCTTCGAGCGTACGTACTTTGTGGACGATCCCTAGCTATTTTTTAAGTGCGGGACTTTCAAAGGCTAAAAATTTGTTTTATACCAAATGAAATCATTGCTTAGTACCAAATTAGGAATAGATTACTGATATTTTCTAATGCGTTTATGTTAGGGCATCCATTAAGTACGTATGCCGTAAAACCACTGAATTAGGACTCCTCCCCTGTTGTACGGACCTATACGCTTTCGTAGGCCCTCCTCTTCATTTCTCTTCGTATGTTCGCATAATTTTTTAAATGAACTATTTATCTATTCTCATTGATTGCAGAGATTATTTTAAAATAATAGTTCTAATTTGTTACACGTAAAATTCAATGATAAAAGAAAATAAAATCTAGTTTATGAGATGTTCAACCGCGTACGTATTCATTTTCTTTAATACCCCATACCTGCGTACGTACCTTAAGGATGGGCTCCTTACATAAACGCTTCTAAATCAAGTAAAATTTCTTTGTTAATTACTAGCAATTGTTTTCGATAAATACTTTTTATTCAAATTACCTATGGTTATCATTATTACAAATTTTTTTTTTTTTATTACGCATTTAAAAATATTATGTATATATATTTTTATAATGATCAATTTAGATTGTTTTAAGGTGAGTTTCCACTCATCCGTTTCTTCACGGGAACGGGAAATGGAAGGGAAAAATAAACATGTGAGCATGCGTAGTTTTACTTCGGACAAATTAAAACTTATAATATGCATGCCCATGTGATTATTTTTTCCTTTCCCGTTCCCGTGAAAAAACGGATGAGTGGAAATTCACCTTAAGGTGAATTTCCACTCATCCGTTTTTTCACGGGAAAGGGAAAGGAAAAATAATCACGTATTATAAGTTTTAATTTGTCCGAAGTAAAACTACGCATGCTCACGTGATTATTTTTCCCTTTCCTATCCCGTTCCCGTTGAAAAAAGGATGAGTGGAAACTCACCTTTAAAACTATTTCTATAATAAAAAAAAGCTTATTTAACGGAAAAAAACATAATTCAGTTGTAAGCAATTTTTTCTGTTGTTGTTTTTTTTAATTGCCTGCTTTTAAAAATAATGGTTTACCTAATTCTGTGGAAGAGTCTAATATAAGGATAACTGATAGTTTCTCAAAAGGATACATTATAAAGCCACAATAATTAGAACTCATTGTATTAAGTTATGATAAAACTTGTGCAGAAACTATGCGGGCATTGCATTGTTATTTAAATAAAGTTTCTAACAATTCAAACAAAGATACCACTAATTTGTTCCAAGCTATGTTTCCTGACAGTGAGATTGCTAAATCTTTTCAAATAGGACTAAAAAAAGTTAGATATAGCATCACTCATGGTCTTGGGCCTCATTTCAAATCTTTACATAATCAACAACTAAGCCTGACTCCCTGGCTTGCTGTGTCCTTCGATGAAACCCTCAACAAGAAAACTTAAAGAAAAGATGCAAGTTAAAGTGAGGTATTGGGATTCCTCATAAATGGGACATAGTACCAGACTTGATTTGCTGAATCATTTTAATGAAACAATAAGTGATCTTATTATCAGCAAGTTTATTCATGTCTCTTTGGACCCAGTGTCAATTTAAAATTTCACAGAGACGTTCAAAGCAAACGTGACGAACACGAACTATCTATATAAATGTATCTATAAATATTGTATCTGCATGATGTATCTGCATGTATCTGATGGATGCATCTGCAAATATAGTATGTATGATACTTCTGGAATTTAATCATCCTTCGACAGTGGTTTAGCATTTTTTGTCGGTGGAAGCATAAACGTAAACGCACCAACATTTGATAACTTTAGCTTCACACACAGTGACACCATCATTTGGCTTTCTAAATTTTTCTACGCAATCTTTCGGACAACCTTGAAGTGCATTTAGATGTACCTAGTGCAATCATATTCTTATTATTTTGTTTATTTAGTAATTAATTAACAATTAAGATTAGTGTAATTGTAAGTTACATTTGAGTAACAAGATTCAGTGATCGTATAGATGCGAGTAAGATGCGAGACGTATTTGTTTATCAAGAATATTATGATATTATTGTTTTTGCTTGAGTCATGCGGTTCAGAAGAATTAGTATTTTAATTCAAGCCACAAAGACCATAACTATAGAAAAGTTTAAAATTTGTATTTAACTATTTTTGTTTTTTCTAAAATCTAAATTAAGTTTAAAGTTCTTCAACAGCGGTTCTCGGTGACAAGACCTGTATGAGTATCTGCGTTCTTTATCTTTATTCTTTATTTTTTTAACGGGTTCTTTGCATGTAATTTTTCTTATTGATATATTTGTAAATATTGTATCATATATTGTTATAAAGAACAAAATTAAAAAATTAAAAAAATCTAAACTTATTGACATAGCCTGCTGTTCTTAACACATAATTCATGGTGTTTCAAAACAAGAGTAAAATCAACTGATTGGGAAATTTAAGACACGTTTAAAAGTTACTTTATCTATATTGTCCTGCCAGAAGAAGGGACTTTATCAGTATCACTGAAGGTTCTGTGTTCCCGCTTTCATTTTGAGCAACCAGTTGTGTTAAAGACAAAAAGGTAGCAGAAAGATTAACTAGTATTTGGCCTTCTATTATAAAAATTGTATTTTATTTGGAGGCTCTGTCTAAAAGTAAAAGGCCATCTGGCACATCAAAAAGTTTGTTGTAAATGCTGTTTTAAAGGAACCTTCCCTTGTAAGATTCCATTTATTTAGCTTCTTAGCGAGCATATTTGAATTGTTTCTGAAGCTCTATCAAACAGATGCTCCAATGTTACCTCGTATGAATGGTGATCTTGTGCAGTTGGTTAAGGGTATTCTTAGAATTTTCAATAAATCTAAAACTATTAAGGCTTGCTCAAAGCTCAGAAAGAATGATGCAGTTATTTTGAAGGATACTGAAAAATTTAAAATTCAATGCATGCATATTTTTTTTTTTTGTTTTTTTTTTGTTTTTTTGTTTGTTATTTAAGTGCTCCAAGAAAAGCTAACGGTCTTGTCACAGAACACTGCGAAAGTGCATTTAACCAGGAAGTTCACACCTCCTTCCTTACCGTGACGCGAAAATATGTCCAAGGCTTGTTTCGAACCTGGATCTCCTGCTTATAAAGCAAGCAATATTTTGATTTAAGCTGCTGAAAAATTATTTAAAAGATGTCTGCTTGATTCCGTGATTGTTAACAAAAGCACTTGTTTGCTGCTAAATTTTTTTGATCAGATCACACCTAAAAAAAATAATTGTAGTAAAATGAAAACATTGCTATATCATCTTATCTTACTTGAAATTTTAACTGATTCTTATTCGAACAAAGGTATCAACCAGTTTTCAAAGTTTATGTCAGCAGAATTAGCAATAAATTGGGATGTTTTCATTAGCTATTACCAAAAGAATAAACGGTTTGATGATTTTTACTTCAAACACATTGACATAAAAAAGTATCCAGAGTTGTTATCTGTCATTAAGTTGATTCTGACTCTGAGTCATGGACAGGCATTGGTTGAACGGGGGCATGAAATCACACACAAGGCAGCACCTTGTGTGTGATTTTATGTTTACCAACAACCTCAACCCCTACACTCTCCAGATTGCATCAGAAATGAAAGCTGTTTATTAAGCTGTTAATTGTTTTCTTTAGAAGAATTATGTTAAAAGTAATTTAAAACTTTTCAAGATTTATTAATTCCATTATGATTTTTGTATTGCAATTTTAAACAAGTTTAACCAGAAAATTGCTTTTCACAATAATTTTTCTAAACAGACAATGTGTCAGTTTATGTTTCTAGGCCCTGTTACAGCTTGTTTAAGCAACATCTGTTTAAACTTCTGCATTTTCAGTTAACGATGTATTTAATTAAAAGAATTAGATCAATTTAATAGGTTAGTCTTGCTATTAATGCTCAAAATATTTTTTTAATTTTTCTAAGCTATGTTTTGTTATACTGTGCTTATTTTATCTGAAGATATTGTTGGATTAGCAAAGGTAATTAGCAAAGGCACAGCTCCAAATAGTGATAACAAAGGTATAGTTACATATAGTGATTAAAAAGGTACAGATAAAAATAGTGATAACAAAGTTACAGCTAAAAATAGTGATAACAGAGGTATAGATACAAATAGTGATAACAAAGGTACAGCTAAAAATAGTGGAATGTATTCATTCCATGATAAATAGTAATGAAGGTACAGTTACAAATAGTGATAACAGTTGTCTAACCCAAAGTAGTCTCTGTTATAGACCAACTATTGCATAAGATGTTGAAAGATATTGTTTAAAACTTTATATTTAATAAATATTTTAGTTAATTTTTGCGTGAAAGATGATTTAAAAATATTTTATGCCAATAATTTTTAGTTTTTTTTTTGAAGATCATCTGAAACTTATGTTTTTCTGAAATCTGTGTTTTTCTTTGTGTTCATTCATAGTCAATCTAAATAAAAAGTTCTTTGAGCGTGCACAAAAAATTCCGGGCTTAAAAAAACTGTTTGCACATGCTCAAAGAACTTTTCCGCTTCTCCAAAGCGCAAAAAGTTCTGAATGGAGAACGGGCTTTATATAAGTTTTACACTTAAGTGAGAAATAAATTAAAAGCTCGTTTTTGACAAATTGGTCGGCATTTTTAAAGCCTGTTTACACTGAAAGTTTTTGTTTTAACAGTGACTGAAACAATTGTTTTTAAGGCCGATTTCAAATGATTTTGTTTTTTTTGTTTATGATAACAAGTAAAAATTAATAAACGAGGGTGAGGTCTTAATAAGCTTAGGGTTGGGTAAGAAAATTTTCCAAAAATTAATAAACGCAATAATATTCCGAAACAATAAATATTCCGAACAAAATTCGGAATATTTCACTTATTTCAAGGATATTTACTACTAATAATATGTAATGAACACCTGTCAAGTATAATAATATTAATGAAAAAAAAAAATGGCAATGATAATTAATATCATGCATGTAGAATTAACAAATAGTAATAATTATAAAAAGTATATACTAACATGATATAAGAAAAATAACAATAACAACAAATAACAGTTTCTATTATGATAGAAATATAGTAATAATAATATGATTAGTGATGAAGAGAATACTAATAAAGATGTTTCTGTTTAAAGTTTAATAAAGATATTTAATTTAGTATTATAACAAGGGTTGCATAGAGATTTCATGATGCCCGAAGATATTATAAAAAAAAAATTACTGGATGCAAACCCCACCCCTCTCCTAACCCCCACCAAAATAATAAGAAAAATAAAGCTATTTTTTCTAGTATTTACAAAATATTTTTAAAATTCTGTATTTACGTCAGTTGACAAATCAAACAATTAAACACAACAAAGAAAAAAATTTCTGGATTTGCTATCAAGTTTTTCTGAAACTATTCCAAGACTTAACAAGCTTTTCTAGTAGCAAAGTTGGATGTTGCAACATCGTAATTACCTTTCTTTGCAAGATCTGTTTCGATTGAAAGAATAAGACAGTCTTAAGACAATCCTGTCCCATAATAGCTCTTAGAAAGTTCTTGACGAGAGCTAACTTGCTAAAAGATTTCTTGCTTTCAGCCACAGATACTGGCAAAGTAATAAAGATACGAAGATAGATGCATATCTGGGGGAAATTTCCTTCAAATCCCTTCGCATAAATGCTATTTAGAACGGCCGATCATTTGTCAGTAGATAAGGTCGAACAGACAAAAAGTGGCGTAACTCATCAATAAACTCTTCTTCACTAAGATCTTTTGAATACAGAAGTACGAGATCTTTTAACTTTAGATTCTTGACTGTTTGTTAAGTCCAAATTGATGTTAGGCGTTGACCAGATGAAGGATAATAATCTACATTGCTGTTTCATAATTTGAAATCTCTCTGGAATTCGATGGATGAAGGTAAAAAAGGTAAATACTTTTAATTTCTTTTTTATATGTTTTCAATTTTTTATTTATCATCTGATGATGACCCATAAACTTGATACCCAAGGGAAACCAACCGGGATCCCCATTCTCTGTACGCCCCTGATTATAACACAACAGAAATAGAAAAAAATTAGCTAAATAGAAGTAAGTACTTACTAGTAAAACTTACTTAGTTACTTACTGGTAAAAACGCAAAATATTTTTATAACGGCCGTGGTGTAGTGGTAGGAGTTCTTGCTCAGAATCGAAGGGCTTTGGGTTTGATGTTGTTTCTTGCCAGATAAACAACATTGATAAGGAAATAGGCAAGAACTTTCTAGTTACATTGTTTTTCCGCGGTACTTTGTGATGAGACCCTTAGTTCTTCTTGGAGCATCTTAGCAGCTAAAAAAAAAAATTTATCGTAGATTTTTGAGAGGACTTTCCAAGTAAATACTTTATATTATTAGTTTATTCTTATGTAGACATTTTTTTGTATTTTTATCAATAGTTGTGATTTCAAATAGAGTGGATCCTCGCGGCAATCATCTACTTTTATTCCTAAAATAAATAATATCATTCTTAAATCGTTTTTAGAATTTAACAGGTCTTTTTTTTCCAATAATTCATTGACATCTGATTTGCAAGTAAATTGGCTGCTATACAATTTTAAACAAGCTAATATTTCTATAAGACGGCTGATATAAATAAGACCGTTTTTTTTTTAGCTAACCCGTTTTGTCTCAGTTGTATTGTTCGCTGGTTCCAACTGTATTTTATATTTTCAAATTTTTAACGAATTTGAAAATATAAAAGTAGAAATATTTCTAAATTACCTTAATCTTCATTTGTCTAATGGTTTGGATATTATCAGGAGGAATTATTTAAGTTTTTGAAGCCGATTGCAATGAGCGCCACACTGACGCGTAAGTTTAGTATTCTTTGTAGTTGTTTTATCAACTCCAAAAACCTGATTAAAAATGTAATCTTACTCTAAATGCATAATACTTTCCTCCCTGTTTTTTTCCCCTAGTACCACAACAACAAAAATATCTTTACTGCAAAATAAAAAAAATAAACTTATATGATGCATAGAGGTTTTAGGCATATACTATAGTCTTTCTCCTGCAAAACTGCAAAAGTTTATAAACGTGTACGCAAAGAAAAAAAAAAATGCATGCAAAGTTTGTTTTTTACAGAAAATGTGCGTATGCAGACACACGTTTTTCGTTTCTAAAAATTAACATTATTTATTTATTTTGTCATATTTTACAATGTTAACCTTACATTCAAATAAATTTATACAATTACAAGCTAACTTGGGCAAGTAGAAGACAAAATGTCTTATCATCAAGCCCCTTCGTGAAAATAGAAAAAAAAATTAAAGTTTTACAACTTCCAATAATAGATAAAAGAGTGAAATTAATAATATATTTTTTTTTAATTAAAAAAAATGAAAGAATGTAACAAAAACCTGATTAAAAATGTAATCTTACTCTAAATTCAAATTAGAATGTAATGTATTGTTTAAATTTAGTAAGTGTTTTTTTATAGTTCTTTTAAATATACCAATAGATTTATTTTTTTCATATTTTCGTCAAGAACCGAGTTCCACAAGCGTGGTCCCCGACAAGTAATTGAGAAGTCGGATTTTTGAGTGATGTTAGTGGGATGTAGTAATTATTTATTGAGTGTCTTGTTTTATATTTATGATTAATAAGAGAGAAGTTTTTATAAAAAAATATTGTGAAATTAATTCGTTTTGAAGTTTAAACATAAATAACAAGTTATGGTAGTTTAATTTGTATACATTTAGGGCATTTATTTCCTTGAGTAACGGCTCGGCACTTTCGTATCTATCCATGCCCGAAACTAATCGACTTGCTTGCTTTTGTTTTGTATAAATATTTTTTAGGAAAGATGAGTGATTGTTTGCCCAGGCAATATTACAATAGTTAATATGACTATGTATAAACGAAAAATATAAATTTTTTAAACATATTTTATTTTTTTTATTTTTAAGAGGTTTAGTCTTATACATTATCCCTTAAGTCTTTGAGACTTGGTTCTCGACTAGCTTTATTTGGCTTTTCCAATTTAAATGTTCGTCAAAAATTAGTCCAAGTATTTTCATTGAAAAAACTCTTTTTATTTTAATATTGTTGATATTTAGTTCTGGTAGTGTAAGTGGAAAGTTCTCGGGTTTAGATGGTTTAGCAAACAAAATATGTTTTGTTTTTTCAATATTCAATGAAAGTTTATTTTTATTTATATATAATATATATAATTCATATATATTATATAGTCATATATAATATATAATTCATTCTTAAGAATGCCTAAAGCTATCTTGCTGAGTCAAACCACCAGCTTTACCAGATGTAATTTAAATTAGTCTTTAATAATATGAGTTTGGTATTAACAAAACATGGCTTTATCGCAATGGATATTTTAATTGTGGATGAGTCAGGTTATACAACTGTACCAAAGTTACAGAAGATTGTTGCTGGAAAGAGAGTGAAGCTAATTGGGGCTGTCACAAAATCCAAAATAGAATATTTAATGACTGTTTTCTGCGGTAAGCAGAAAACTGTCACTAAATTATAACTTTTTTTAGATTTTAATGCACTGGGGTTGTCAACCCTAATCTTAAGTGCTGAACATGTTTCATGGTTACGACACTAGCAAACGCGTTTTCAAAATTTAAATAAACTTTTTCTGATTTCAGTCATTGCCGAATTGTATGTTTTTAAGGTGGTTCCTATATAATCAAAAGTCAAAATTTATTCAAAAATTGATTTTTTGGCAAATTAGGTATTTTAATGTAAAATTTAACGCCCTTTCTCGTCGTATAATTTTTTTTTTAAGTTTATGCTTTTTACAATATTTACAATTTTATCCGCAACTGTATTTTTGAATTTGCTACTAGCCCTCTGATCTTAGTTCCTACGTGTATCTATAGCTACCTGTTGCTATATCTATTGCTACCTGTATCTATAGATACAGGTATCACACATAAGTATACCAAGTAAAATAAACTTTTACTCATAAGTAATTGTGTTTCTAGTAAACTTTATTTTTAGGGGTTATTTTGACTATTATAGGCCTCCCAGTCAGGAATTTGATATCATATGATAGACTTCATATTATATTAAAATATAAATTCAATATTATATTACATAAAGTTTCGAAAAAAAGTCAATATAATTATTAAAAGTTTTATTTGAAAAAAATTATAGGTAGCAAATATTCAGGTAAAGCCTTAACAAAAAAAATACAAAAAATGTCACATATTTGTAGAACGTTCTTTGACAGATATATATTCAGAGAGATTGAGATATGGGCTCGGCTATTGCATCGCTTTAACTTTACAATTGGGTTTTCGACAGATATACAGACTTGATCTAAAAGTCATTTTTTGAATGTTGCATTCTATTTCTTTTCCAAATAAAATTTAGATTTATTTATCGTCTGAAAACAATGTTGCGAGCTGAAAATAATAATCAAAAATATTAGCCACCAACAAAAAACTAAATTATTGCCTAAATATTAACAAAATAAAAACGATTTTTACCTTATCAACAAATTTGTCTTATATTAAGTTTTGTAGTTTTTTTCCTGATAAGAGTTAAATATTGTCATTAGACAAGTTTAACAAATAATGATCTTCCTAAACTCTGGAAAAAATGCAGACTACATTTATTCCATTATTCTTATATTTAATACGTACCACAACATAAATAAATAATAACACATTTGCCTATGTATATATTTATTTAACTTAGTTGATTGTAAATAATTTTAAATTTATTATTTTGGTATTGTATATTACTATTTTACCTGAGATAAGCCACTGTCATCATTTCATTGAACTTGCTTAAGATTTCATAAAGCATCGTACTTGGAAATACACTGCAATTAGAATTCAAAAAATTTTTGACATATAAATTAATATTATAATACATATATATATATATATATATATATATATATATATATATATATATATATATATATATATATATATATATATATATATATATATATATATATATATATATATATATATATATATATATATATATATATATATATATATATATATATATATATATATATATACATATATATATATATATACAGTGGTGGAAAAAATAATAAATACACTATCTAAAATTTTGTAAAAACCCGTTTTATTCACAGCAATTGATGTTATCTGATACAAATTTTTATTTTTTTATAAACCTTATTGTTAAAAATTATATATTTTTTTAAATAATGATTTTTTTTTCAATTTTTATTATGTTACTAACAATTTTGTATAAAGTAGCCGGAAATTTACTGGAAAAAATAATAAATACAGAAATGGTTTATTTGATCGTATATTCAAGAAAATTCAATGTATATAAAACAAATATTTAACAAAAATAATAAAAAACAATTATAAACAAAAACAAACTTCTTTTTTTCTGACAAAGGTTTATCAATCACTTCATACAATATTTACAAAAATTGCCTAATATTTTGTTGCATGTCCTTTATTTTTTTTACTTCGATTAGTCTTTTGGGCATGCTGTTGACCAATTTATGATATGTTGAATATCATAAATTGGTCAACAGCATGCCCAAAAGTGGAATAGCGTACCATGATGTTTTCACAGCCTCCCACAGATCCCTTTTGTTCCAAGGCTTTTGTTTTGCTACCTCATCCGTTACAACTTTCCATAAATTTTCTATGGGATTTAAATCTGGCGATTGTGCTGATCAGTCCAGCTGTCTTATAAAATTATTTTGGAACCATCTCTTTGTGATTGAGGCTGTATGTTTTGGATCGTTATCTTTTTGAAATATCCAGAGCAGCGGCATACTATCCTCAGCATAAGGAAGCATTATTTCTTCAAGCATGTAATGTGGGTCAAACTCTTTATTTGGTGGTCTGCAGACAAACTGCTTACCATCTGATCCAAAGATATTAAATTTAGATTCATCTGTCCACAAAACTGTGTTCCATTTTTTATTTGTTCATGCAGAATATTTATGACAAAACTCTTTTCTTGCTTTTATATGTTGTTTTTTCAAGTAAGGCACACTTCTAGGTGATCTTTAAAATAAGTTAGCTTCAACTAAACGTCCTCTAATTGTTCGTGCTGTTACATTTAACTCTAAGTTTTTTTTAATGGTATTGCTGGAGATAAATAGATCTTTTTTAGCTTCACGAATAATTAATTTATCTTCTATGTAATTTGTTTTTCTTTTGCGACCTCTAGTTTCAACACATATTTTTGGTTTAAGAGGGTTTTGAACCATTCCAACAGAACACTTAGTTATTCTTAAAATCTCTCTATAAGACTTTCCACTGCTTTTAAGCCGTTGAATTACTAAGAGCTCAGCTGAGGTGCAATGTGACTTTCTACCCATAATATTCTAAGTTAAAACTGTTGTATGAATAAATTTACTAATATACATACTAATATCACCATATCATTTTTTTAAATATTGAAAATACTTACAGATTAAAAGTAAGAGGCAATATCTCTTAACTTCAGCAATGTTTTTTACTTAATTGTAATTAATTAACTGAAATGATATTAATTTAATACATTAGTAAACTGTAAATAAATAAATGAACATACATAAAAAATTGAATTATTAGCATAAAAAAATTATTGAACATAGTTTATGTTTCAAAATATAAAGCAAAATATTATTTAGTAGTATAGGAAGGTCATATCAGTTTGAGGGAAAGTGACTAAAGCAGCCAGGGTTGGAAATTTGAAGAGTAAGGGTAAGGGAAGTGACCCTCCTTCTAAATAAATAAGGGGGAAGAGGTTATTACCCCCTCTAAATTCTCTTCCTACGAGGTATTAATAATAACTAGAGTTAAATACATGTTTGAAAAGTAATAACAGTTGAAAATTAAAAAAAACAAAAAGATTAATTTATTATTTTTTCCAGTAAATTTCCAGCTACTTTATACAAAATTGTTAGTAGCATGAGAAAAATTGAAAAAAATATATAATTTTTAACAATAAGGTTTATAAAAAAATAAAAATTAGTATCAGATAACATCAATTACTGTGAATAAAACAGGTTTTTATAAAATTTTAGATAGTGTATTTATTATTTTTTCCACCACTGTGTATATATATATATATATATATTTATATATATATATATATATATATATATATATATATATATATATATATATATATATATATATATATATATATATATATATATATATATATATATATATATATATATTCTAATGACATTAGATACTATTTCATTAGAATATGTATGTAACATTTAACTAAAAAAATTAAACAAAATCAACACTTAAACACAAAAAAAAACATTTAATAAAAATTAAATAAAATAATCCAGTCTTGAGGCAACAGCTTTCATCATTTTTTGCTTTAAAATTTTTTTACATAATGCGGCTCTTGATAATTTCATTCTTGATAAAGTCACAGAGTATTCTGAGCTACTACTTGAGAAGGATATTGTATTATTTTTTTTTTATAGCTGATATCATAAGCTAAATGATTTAAACACTGAAAGTTATTAATTAATAGATGATCAGAATAGAACACTCTGGCATTGTTCTCAAAGCAAAAAAGAAGTTCATGAACATTAACTTATTTAGTCATTTAACCTTTTCTGAATAGTTTATGTTCAGTATAAGCTGCACTTAAACTAACAATTAAAAATTGGATGTATTTTTTTTACTGAGTTTATGATTTAAAACCACTTGCCCACAATATAAAAGAAAAGTTCTGGCTTAGAAGCTTTTTACAACTTCATATATTTTAGGCTTGGTTTTACAACATGGTTTACAATTAAATTCCATATGAATGTATTCGTTCAAGGAACATAAGTAAACAGGTAAATTAATTGCCTGTTTACTTACCTGCCCAGATGACAATCAAAGAAGCAGCCCTTTTCCAAGATAAAATGTATATTTTTAGCACAAGCAAGTCTCTACCTTGAATTATGTTAAGAGGGGACTACTGCACCATATCTACTTTAAGTAACTTCAAGACACTCATATCCTTGTGATAATTTTTCTGATTTAGAATTCTAAATGTTTTACCAGCGAGTACCAGTGGGCATAAAAATTCATTTAACCATTATAGGTTTATTCCATCTTACAATCACATCCATAATGACCATTATAGAGATTAAATAAGAACTTTAGCTGGTGCATCACAAATTAAAATATTTTACCTTTTACTTGTATGGCTTTTCCATTATTATAAATAATGTCATTTGCCATGAGGGTCTTCCATAAAGTATGGATGCAGGTATGAGGGAGGAGTTTACCCAAAAAATTATGAATACAAGAGAGAGAGAGAGAGAGAGAGAGAGAGAGAGAGAGAGAGAGAGAGAGAGAGAGGTTAAAGACACCAAGTATGTACATGGTGTGACTAACTCTCATTCTCTATCTATTTGAAAACTTGCTTTCTTTTTTATTAACAAAAGCATAGAGTTTCTTGAGTTTAAAAAATTATTATTCTGTTAAGTAACAAAATTAATAATTCTGTTATGAGTGATGTCAAAATAACTGAAAAAATTTTGTTTTCAATGCTTTGAAAAAATTATGCGTTGGAAAAAGGTTGGGGGAAAGGGGTTGATTTTGTATTAACAGATATGCATGCAGTGGGAGGAGAAGGGGAGCATAAAAAGCATATAGGTGTGTACAATGTAAAGGGGTTCCTTGTGTGGATTTACTATATATAATATATATAAATATAGATATAAAAAAAATATAATAGATATAAAAATAATAGATATAAAAAAAATAGATAAATATAATAGATATAAATAGAAAAATATAATAGATATAAAAATAATAGATATAAAAAAAATAGATATAAATCAGTGGATTTACTGCGTACATACTTAATGTATGTCCCCCTAAGATTTCCCTGTGAAGTCTTTTAAGTTTTCTAAACTAGCTGACTTCTGTAATCCACAAAACAACGTCACAACAAATGGAATTTTAACAAATATTGTCAATATGACACTAGATTGACCAGAGAAACATATTTGCACTTTTATGGATTGACAGTCTCTCAATAGTTAAAGACTAATTTCACAAAGTCTATAGAATTGCATAGATCTCAAAACACCATCTTTAATTTTTTTTATTACTATCTTTTATCAAAATACCATCTTTTATCCTAAAATATGTATACTCACTATCTAAACCAATAAAGAAGTAATATGATGCAACTAAATGCAGTTAAAGAAAAATAAAAAATAACATTTAAGTAAAAATAAAATAACTGCAAAGAAATATCAAAAGTAAAGTATTCAATACAAATAATTAAACTTTTAAATAGGTCTAACAAATGAAATATCTTGGAAGATTTATAAACCTAACTTTATAGTAACATCTGAGTTTTAAGGGATTTTCAATAGCGTCATAACTTGTGCTAGAAGATCTACAAAAAAGTGATTAAAATGTAGTTACTCTTGTTAGAATAATGAACATTTAACAGTCCAACGACTAGGTCTTCTCTAAATATCAGCATAATATTTTTATTACTTTCATAATTACTGCTTTTACTATCGGTGAGAAGTTCTTAAATCTTTTCTGCTGCACTTATTGATTTCAGTCCTAATAACTCCTATTTATAGGATTTAAGTCCTATTATTATGGATTTTTGCCCTATTAAGCTTTATTAACTGTTAAGCAACCAGAATTTTTAACTTCTACATTTACAAAGGGGGTAAAGCTACAGTTACGCGGCCTAAAATAATTATATTTTTGCACTTGTTGCACCAGGGGGTTTTGCTACATCGACTATCTTATAGCCTGACTCGCAACGGAGTACTGCTACATCGACTATCTTATAGCCTGCTGCTACAAGGAAGTGCTGCTACATTGACTGAGGGTTTGGCATGGGGCAGCAATCTTTTTTCTTTTATTATTTCAATTATATTCCTATTGTTTGTAAAGAATCTACTGACAAGCGGAAAAATAAAATTATTTTAGGCCGCGTAACTGTAGGATTACCTACAAAGGGTATTTATTAACTATCCTAATTTAAAAGTCTTTCTAGAAGCATAGCTAATTTATTAGTGCTTTCCTTCTATTTTTGAAACTTCTTAAATGATTTATGTTTAAAAATTCCACTGACTTAATTATTTTTATATATGCTTTCTAAAAAATTTGTTCAAATAAACTGATTGCCTTAGGCTTGTTAACTCTGAGAATATAAAAAGGAGAGATTCATTCCAATTATACTAACTTATGCATGACATTGACAAAATAAATATTAGAGAACGTTTTCCATTTATTATTACTATTTAAGAGGGAACTTCTTTAGGACTCTTAGAGTTGCAATTAGGTTAAAGATGACTCTTAAAGCTCCAATTATGTTTAAAAAGAAATGCTTCCTTATAATACAAGGGAGCATTTCCTTTTTAAACAGAATTTTAGATGCATGGAACTCAGTTTTAATTGAGGGTGTAACAGCAAAAACAGCTTTAATTAATAGTTGCAATCAAACATAACTATTGTAATACTATAACAGAGTGCAAAACAACACATTCACTGGGTCTGTTTAACACAGCATAAACCACTACTACTATTACTACTAGTATGTACTTAATTAACACGCTCATATTAGTATTTTAATTATGTTATGTAGTAATAAATTGTAAATATATGTCAATGAAAGCAGGTGATGCTGTTTGATTTTTTGCAATTACCAAAAACAATGTTATTTATAATTGTTATCTTAAATACATAGATATATCTTTTTTAAATAAGTACTAAAATCTAAGCCGTATAAAGACTAAAAAATAACTCTAGAGCAGTTAAAATGTTTTTGAATAATAATAGGTGATGTGGCATATTATCAATATATTCTGCAACATATTCGAAATAAAAATAAGGTACCAAAAACAAATATTTTGCTCTTTAATTTTATTACTTTAAATGCAATTTAGTTTTTAATTTTTTTTTATTTGCAGCTAACAATAAAACAAGTTTAAAGTTTGTCTTACCATTTTTTTTAAGGCAGAAGAATTAGTATTTTCCTTTTCCGTGACTTACCAAACACCATATAAAAAAGTGAAAAGAATTATGCCAAAGCGTCAAAGAATGATATAAAAAAAAATGGAGGACAGTAATGTTCAGTGATGAGATGAATATCGAGGTTGATAATCGAAAAAGTCGAATTATGATTCACAGGCAGCCTTCAAAAAAATATAATCTCGATTGTATCGTTCAAAGAATAAAACAAGGTAGCAGGTCGCTTGGAATATGGTGCTGCATGACATATTATGGTCTCAGTATGTGTAAATTACTTGATGGTCAACTCAATTTATTAAATTATTTATTAACTCAACTCTATTTATTACGTTGATATTTTAAATAACAACTTGCTACCATCAATTGATACACTTGAGCAAAGCGTTCCATTCATTTTTTTTGAATCCATTCAAGACAATTCACTATGTCACAGGGCTAAAATTGTCTCTGAATGGTTTGAAAGCAAAAAAATTGAGCGTTTAATTTGGCCATTAAACAGCCCAGATCTAAATTGCATTGAAAATCTTTGGAGTTGGCTTGATAAAGAGATTGCCAAGAAAGCACCAAGGGCCCTAGAGGAGTTGCGCAATATTTTACCAACAATACTTGGAAATGTTCCCAAACATATTTTAGAGAACTTATTAGACTCAATGCCGAATCGTATAAATGAGTGTTTTAAAATTCATGGTAGAATTAAGCGGTATTAGGTGAAAACTACTGTTTTTTGCTCTGTGGTTCTTAACTTTTTCACAATTTTTTTTTAAATAAAAATTACCTAAAAAACTTTAAATACATTTTTTTTTGTTTGTTTAAAAGTTTTTTTGATTATTTTTTTTATTTTGTTTGTCTATTTTTTTAAAATTTATCAATCTTTTTTTTTATAATTAATGTGCTCTACATTCTATAGGTCCTAAATATCTACCAAAATCTTTTTTTAGGTTTTATAACGGCTTTAAGTGATATATATGAATTCTGAGTTTTACTGTTTTGACCTGATCTGACTTATCGTCATCAAAAAACATCTACTTTTAATTATTAATTTACAAAGATATACTAATGTATTATAATAGCTATTGGAAAACTTTCTTAACCACAAGTAAACAGATAGTAACAGAGACTGGTGTAGGAATAGGAGGTGGAAGGGGTGACAGCTCCCCTTTCCATTCCAACTAACTTAAAATTTCTATTTTTTCAATTCAAATTTTGATTCTGGCTGCCCCCTGAATTTTCATTTTAGCCCCCAACTTTCTAGACCTTCCTATGCCACTAGTTACATATACAAAGAACCCTATTTGCTCTGCACCAGTTCAATTTATTTTAAAATGTGATAAATATTATAGTATAATTTATCTTTTTTATATAAATTGATTTTTTCTGAAGGCTTACTTTTTGTTTAATATCTAATATATCAAAAAGCAGGTTGTAATAAGAATTAAGATTACAAGTTCCCTGATAGAGTAGCGTGACTCAAGGAAATTGTTTATATAGACCCCAGCCTACTTTCTACCAACAAAAAAACAAAACTAATAAAAAAAAAAAGCAAAAAAAAAAACTTTATTTTAAAATACTAGTTAAATGACAAAGAAATTTTCTTGGGTGGTTTGGGCCTCCTAAAAGCTCTGCCCGCTCTCTCTGCTACTGAATGTATATATTAGTAGAACGGCAAAAATGAGGTACATTTAGGTAATACCCATAAATGGATTTACCTAAGACTTTTAAAATGTTGGTGTAGAAATAGACGAGATACCACTGTGCCGAAGCACACCTCATTAAATCAGTTTAATTATATAAAACATGAGGATGATTTTGTGCGCTTCAATCATGAATCATCTCATACTTAATGTTGATATTAAATGTTGTAACAGATTACCACAGGGTTGAATATTAGTTAAAAGCATTGACCAATTCAAATCTCAGTGAGTTCCCCAGATGAAGACACCATGGAAACATATACCACCTTTTAGGTGTTATTCAATATCTTTATTTCAAGTGAGTTGACCAAGCAGAACAAGTAAATATTATGGATGTAGAAATCAGATTATTAGTATATGATCTAATACAACTGCAAAATATGCTGTTAGAGTCGATGGAGCAGCCCAAATAATTGAAAATAGTTTGAAAGTTCCAATGTTTTTGATAATATGCAGAAGACATAACAATATAAATATATATCACTGTAAGGCTGCTCTAAATGGGGATAACAGTACTAATAGTACTAAAAAGAGTCATTATGTCAAACTAAGAAAAAAGTTGACTGGAATTAGTATAAAAATTAAAAAGAGTCATTATGTAAGTTAGACTGACAAAAGGATAATCCAAAGATTAGCATAGTTATTCATACAATTACAGAGTAAGCAAAAAATACAGTGTATGCATAAAATGCGTGAAGAAACAATATAAAAGCTTCTCTTGCTAAAACTTATTAATTCTTCTTGAGAAACTTTAAACTTTGGCTTTTAATCATTTTAAAAGAGGAACATGTCTTCTTAATATAAATCTATTTCAAAAAGATTATGATTTTTCAAATAGATAAACATTTTTATAGATTAAATTTTAAATGCTTTAATTCAATTAAATTCTTTCAATGGATCAGTATAAATAAATGAGGAGAATTAACTTATGTTTTCAAATTTAACTTTCATTTTTGATAATATATAAGAGAGCATTTATAATATTTATATGTTATATCTATTAAATAATATATACCTTTGATTTGGACGCTTTCCTTTTGATCTACTTTTAAAATTTTAGCATATGATAGCATGCATAATGCATGCTATAAAATAACAAATCGTCATTTAACGTTCGTTTAATGCCTTTTTTCCTTGCAGATGCAATAGATCTACTCTCTCGTTTGTATAGAGAAACGTTAAATTCAATTTCATAGTTCTTAATCGCTTCTTCTAATTCTTTTAAAGAGTTAAAACTATCACCAACATTCAAAGTTATTGTTGACGCAAATCTTTGATAAAATCGAAACAATTATGCTCCTTCGCGTCCGAAAGTTTGGACGTATTTTGTTAGGAATACGTCTAGACGTACCCGTAGCCACTGCCTTTTTTTAATATTAATTCGCATATCTTTCAGCCATCTTGAAAGTAATAATCAATTCTTGAAGACGTTTTCCGGCAAATTAGTATGAATGTGTTTTCACATCATAGCGTGATATCTTAATGATATCATAATATGAGTTTATAAATCAAAACTTACTATTTGAACATTAAAAGAGAAAAACTTAATTTTTACTGCGCTTTATAACTAATATATGAAATTCGGCTATAAATAAAGTTTATTTCTCATTGTTATGATACCACTATGATATCATAATGATATCATTATATGATATCATAGCTTGAGAAAGTTTTGATATCATTCTGATATCACATTGATATCGCGCCTTGACTGGGCTCTATGTGATCATCAATATATTTTTGGAGTTCGAAAATATATATTTTTTTTAATCATTCTTTACCTAGTTTTGAGAAAATTAATGCTTAATGAATAAAAAAAACTTTTTTTGATTACATAGGAACCACATTTAAAGACAAACAAAAACGACATAAGGTCTTACATGATTGGAGCATACTGACTGTTTTTGATTAATTTTGTTTGTTATTTTCTGTTTAATTTCTCATTTATCGTTATTCTTAGTTTGTCATTTTTGCTTATTTTGAAGCAACATTTCCAGCATAAATTTTTTAAACTTGTCAATTTGACCTAAATAATCTCCAAGCTATTTCATTTTGTTAGATCTACAATCTGAAATAAAATGGAAGTTTTTTATTTTGAATTTATTAAAATTTTCATCCTTAAAAAAACGATAGTCATATTTTAATATAAATAAACTTTTAACAATAAAATTTATTACTCAATAAATTTTATTGATTTCAAATAGTTTGTTATAATAATACATAAGTTTTTTAAATTTTTTTTCAATGAGTAATAGTAATGAGTTTAGGTAAAAAGTTATTAAGGAAACAATAAGTTGGGACCCAAAATACCCTAGTATTTTGGGTTCCAACTTGGTTTGCATGTTACATGAGTCCGTAAAATATTTTTTATATATTTTTTCCTTTTTATATCTTAACATCCTATTATATACAGTAAAAAGTGTTTTAAGGTTGAACTTTAGTTGTACCGTAAATATGAATTAGGATTAAAAAGGTTACTTTGAATAGCGGGATAACTTTAAATTGCGGGGTAACTTTTAAATACAAATCTTCTTTTATTTCTAGCTGTAATTATGACAAATATTTATTTGAAACTGTTAAAACCTTAAATATCAAAATTTGAAAAATAGTTTTTATTTCAATTATTTAAAGTCTTACAATGTTTATTGGTTATTATTATTCCTTCAAAGATCATTTTAATATTTCGGATTTTTCTCAAAAAAATAAACCAGAATATTTAATACGCTGCCTCAGCTCGTGTAGCAGCTTGTTGTGTAAGTTATATAAGTTTTGTTTATAATTTTGTTAATTATATGAAGTTTAAAGGAAGTTGTTGGTCTGCTACAAATATTAACCATTGGTATAGCATAACATATTTTTTTGTATACATTTTTTTGCATACTTGGTAATTTGAATAACATTCAAAGTAAACCCACAGCATAAATTGTCAGAAATGTGAAATAATTTTAAATTTTTTCTTATCGTACATGTTTAATTTATAGTTGTACTATTTTTAAATTGGTATATACATTTTGTATGGAAAAAAAAAAGATAATATATCATTTGTATAAATGATATATTATATCATGTGTATAAGTTATATCATGTGTACAAATAAATACTCATGATATATTTTATCATAGGTATAAACAGTAAATCATACACGGTATAAATCAATCCTGGCAGTCGGAAAGTCACGTGATTATGCAAAATAGCAATAGCGCAAGTTGTTACCATCTTGGATGGGAAAAACAAATGATTAGTTGAGTTAATAAAGCAAGAGAATTCGTATGAAAAAGTAATTTAAAGATTTTTAAAAAAAAATGTCGGTTTATGAATACTTCGAAAAATTAGATTTTAACGCCGCAGAAAGGTATATAAATAAACTTGCAATTCTTGTAATCAACCGATGTCTATAAAATTTCCTTGTAAATACTCGGAAAGATGATCAAACTGAATGGCCATGAGTTCAATAACAATATAATTATTTCATAAAAAGTCCTAGAATATTTTCTCTTGAAACTATAAGGCCGGGTGAACAAAAATGAGCAATTACTTTTACTCAGTAATTGGTTACCTTTACATGAATAAAAACTCCTCCAGTTTTGGTCGAATTTTTATTCACGTAAATTTAAGCTATTTACTCAGTAATTGCTCAGCTTTACGTTAGTAGAAACTTAAGCAAAATTACTAAAGTTTTTATTAACGTAAATCTGACCAATTATTAAGTAAATTGCTCATTTTTATTCACCCGGCCTATAGTTAATTACGAAGCATTACGTGCTTATAAATATTTTGTCTTTGGCTAGATGTAAGAAGATTTTCTACGACATTGAGCTCTGGTTTTGTTGTTTTTAAAACACAAGTTGTCTGACTTGTGCTTTTAAAACAACAAAACCATCTTAGTCACCAGAGTTGACTCATAACAGCAAAACCATCCTACAAAACATATATATATATATATATATAAATATAAATATATATATATATATATATATATATATATATATATATATATATATATATATATATATATATATATATATATATATATATATATATATATATATATATATATATATATATATATATATATATATATATATATATATATATAGAGAGAGAGAGAGAGAGAGAGAGAGAGAGAGCAACAGAGCAACAGGCAACTTCACACTGCCCAAAAGAACAACAAAGTTTTCACGGTTTCTATTTCCTACCGGGGCCCGTACCTATATAACAAAATCATATCCTAAAATATAGATCTTAAAGTATTAAATAATGCTGCCAACTTGAAAAATAAATTAAAACACCTCATACTTAATACCAACAATTATATTGACATGTATTAAACTTAACATTAAAATTTATATTAAAATATTTATGTGTATCACTGATTGTATATTGTTTAACCACTTTTGACTATATATAAAAATAAAATAGACTTTGTTTAACCTTTTAAAGAGGTACTCGATGATAAGTCTTCATAGACTTCTACGATTTTTCCTTTACAACAGCATGTATATATCTGAAGTACCAAAAAATGTCTTGTCTTTTTTTTTCTTTTCTTATTTTTATTCTTTTATTTTTTAAAAATACTGGTAACATTTATGATAAGAAACACTATTAATTTACGCTATACTTAGATATACTTGTTAAACCAATTTTTATTATGCTATGTTATACCTGGTATTATTATCTTATATTTTTACGTGAGATTATATTATGTCGTGTAGTTATAACGTAACGATGTGTAAATTTATTAAAGTTGTAAAAAAAAAATATATATATATATATATATATATATATATATATAATAATAATAATAATATTTAAATTATATTACTTATATGTACACGTATGTATCAAAAATCATCTTAAGACACAACAACTCTTAAGCATTTTAAATACTTCTTTTGTTTATGCCATTGTTTGCGTTTTAAAACGAAAGTTTGTTTTCCCCCAACTAAAATGGTAGCTGTTCGTGGCAAAGATTCCGACTGCGAGAATACTCAGCTAGTAAAATATTACAAAAATTTTTAACCGTTAAAGTTTATATAGAATTGTTACTATTGACGTCAGAGGTTGAATGGCTTAAATTTAAAAAATAGCGGCCGAAACATAGTATTGACATATTGGTCTTCATCCAAATTAATACCGCCGTTTCGCGCAGAGCACATATTATATATTTATATATATATATTTTACAAGCTGATGATGCTGATGATCCATAACCTAGCAAAAATTTTTATATAATAAAATTATTAGTATTGAGAGAAACTATATTTCTCGATGTTTTAAAATAATATATATATATATATATATATATATATATATATATATATATATATATATATATATATATATATATATATATATATGTATATATATATATATATATATATATATATATATATATATATATATATATATATATATATATATATATATATATATATATATATATATATATATATATATATATATACACAGAAATACGCAGAAACTTTCTAGAGCGATTTCATGTCATAAGATTAGTTTTTTTAGATAAAGCTTTTTATTATTAAATGTTTAAATTTTTCCAACAAAAAAATCAACAGCTTTTTAATGAAAGTGAGGAAATACTTTTGTAATTAAACACAAAGGTTGATTTTATAGAGATCTTTAAGCTTGATGTTTTCTGCTTGATGTTTTCTGACTTGCAAGTTTTTTGGATTTGTCAAAGAATAAAAAATGAGACGTGCGACTAATAACATTTGGATATTACTAATTAAGGTGGGCGGTTGTTTTAGAGATGACAAGATTTCGACAGAATTCGAAACAAATCCTATAGTAACTATCAAAAAAACAAAGATGACTCAATTATAAAACATGTTTGTTAAACTGTAAATGTCGGGAATTTATATATAAATTAATAAGCTTATTCAATTTTATTATTTCTTTTGTTTAAATAATCCTTTTAGTTTACATTCTTTCCTTTTAAAATTAGTGAGTCATTTCCTCCTCCAGATCAAAGTATAAAATAAACAAGTTCACGATAAATTGCATAAATTCTTCAGACACTGCACTTACAACAAGCACTAAAAAAAAATAATCAAAAATGAGAAGGTGAGTTTCATTCATTTTTTTGTTTTTTTTTTAAAGTATACTCTGCTTATTTTGTTAGCGTTCAGATTATATTTATCTATCACTCTTTATTAATATATAATTTACAAATAAAATAGTTATCCTTTTTTTGTTACAAATAACATTCTTATTACAAGTCACCTAATAAAATATGCTATATGTTTCAATAGCTCAACATTCTTAAGTATATGTCTTTTGGTATTTTTGTTGCTGGTTAACTTTGAAAGAACAGTGGGAAATAAAGGTAATTTGCGATGCATTATTTTATTTAGTTTGAAATTTATTTTTTCTATCTTTTTGAAGCACCTTAATAATTAAAATAAAAAAGAATAAGAAAAAGAGTTAAAAAAAAAAAAAAAGCTTTTTATTTCATTTATTTTTAAGAAATTTTTTTAGTATTACCCTCATAGAAAACTTGATCTTATTTGAAAAACCTGGTTTGAAACAGTTCTATACAAATCCGAAAATTTTTTAAAGCTAAAATTTCTATTGCGTTTTATTTCAAAAAAGTAGAAAGATGGCATCACCTAGAACTTAGCTAATAAAACCTTGGGCGCACTTTTATAAAATTAAATAAAAGATAATGTTGCTTAGTCGTATAATGGTTATGTATTTATGCAAAATTTCTTTTTTTAAATAGTTAGAGACCTAAAAACATTTTTTATTTTGTCTTTAACACGTTATTTGAGTAAACTACAATTCAAACTAACCAGTATAGTGTCTACGCTTTTTGTAATTATGCTTTCAAAATTAATTTTGTTGTATATAATAGTTTAATTACTAGAAAAAGCAGTTTACGTCTGATGTCACCAATAATTTAGTCTGGTGTCACCAACAAGGGTGGCTTCAGCATTGTCTTCGAGATATGCATTAACTTCCAGACATAGAGCAAACTCCAAACATTTATATGTTTATACTTATGTCAAATAAAGATGCTTTGCAAAAAAATACTAATTTATAAAATATGTGATATACGGTTCAACTCCCAATACATACATACGTGATATACGGTTCAATAACAAATAAATATAAATATTACGATACATTGAAAAACTAAGACCGACAAACCGATATCATATTTAAAATGAAAATAATTTTGAGTACACGTTCAATAAAGTTCTCTGTGACAACCATTTCTACTATTATGTTAAATGTCCAACTTTAAAGAAAGCAGATGGTAATTTAAACTAATCTAAATTAGAATCAAAAGATTAACATTTCAGATTTAAATCAACGCAGCAGCAATTGACTAACAAAAGCAAATATTCTCAACAACCAAGTTCAACCAACAACCAAAAAAATCAATTTCGGACATAACAAATGATTAAGATTCTCCAACACTTGAAAGCTTGATGTTATTGGGTGATGATAAAATTAGTCATTTTGTTTTAAAAGCGTGTGCTACATCAACGGCAGAATTAACAGATTTGATTTCCTAACTTTTACCTTAAAAAAGTCTTGCAAATTTTAATTATTTGTCAATTAATTTATAATTCAAAAATTAATGTTACACCTCAGACCTATATTACTCGATTTCAAATTAATGCCAACATCAGACCTATATTTTTTTCAATTTCAAATTTTCATGCAAATTAATGGTAGATATACTAAATAATATAACAAGTCATTATGAAAAAATGTTTGAGAATTCCGAGTAGTGATTGACCGAAATTCAGTTTCGGTATAGGTTTCGGCCATAATTTCATTTTGAAATTTCAGCCGAAACCTATACTGAAACCTTAATATACTGTATCCTTTTTTTATACCGAAACCTTTATATGCCGAAACCTTTTGACCGAAACCTGAACCGAAAAACAAAACTTTGATTTCAATACTTTTTATTTCGGTAATGAACAAAATTTCGGTTTCAAAACACCAAAAACCAAAAATTTTGTATGATTTTAAAATATTATTTAATTTAGAAAAATAATTATTTTTGACAATTTCTACAAAATATTTTAGCATTTCTAAATGAAATTTTAAACCTATTGTTACTTAACTTTTTAGTAACTAGCGTATATCGATTTTCAGTAACGCGTATCGATTTGCATCTTAAAAATATCTAAACCGCAAATAATCTTGCATCAATAACGTTTTGTTTAAAGGAAACAAATTTGCTTTAAATAGTTTAAATAGAAAGTAAACAAGAATAAAATTTCGTGGATGTAAGCCTTTAGTTATTTTTCTATGAAATTTTTTTCTTCTTAATATTTATTTTTATGACTTTCCATCTTATATTATTATATAAGATGGAAAGAAGTGTAAAATAATTTTGTTTAGCCGAAAATTTGGCTTTAGTTTCGGTGAAATGTTTGCCGAAATGTCGGCTTTAGTTTTAATTAGTATGCCCAAAATTTCGGTTTACTTCGGTTATGGCGTATTTTTTGTTTCGGTCGATTACTTAACATGTTGGGAATTCTCAGCACAATTTTATCAACGGATATCTACACTTGAAAAAGGCGTTGTATAACATTTATCAGACCTCATGTGAAGTTATTTATTTATTAGCTTTTATTTTTTTGGTCAAGTGAAGAAAGTTTAAAAGGTTCAGCACAAAGCCACAAAAGTTCTTTAAGCTTTAAAAAATATAGATTGCTAGAATCAATGAAAAATAATAAATGTAACTACTACTAAATTTAACTGATTTTTTCTTAATAAAAAAAATTACACTATGTAACAAATTTTCACTTTTGTTCTGTTCCTGTGCTGAAAGTGTATTTTCCTAACCCGTGAGGTCTAGAACAGAATAGAAATCGGTGTTAATCCAGAAAAATTTTCATTCTGTGACCGAGACTATTAAACAACCGGGGCCTGTATTTGACCAAGGCCAAAGCCAAGTTTATGGCTGGGGCTGTATAAATATTGGTGCATATTGATATGATATATAAAAATAAGTCAATATGCACCAATATTTATACAGTTCTGTCCGATGGCCACAGTCAAATACTAGCCCCGATCGTTTACTAACCGGGACAATGAAATTTGAAAAATCGCGTGTTTTCGGGAGAATTTTCGATTTATTTTCAATGTCGAGCTCCTATAATATTTCTGAACTGCTAGAGTTATCCGGATGTTTCTACAATTCTCTTGGAACTTTTGGGAAACTTCTACTCTAGCAACTTCCAGAACTTTTGAGAAACTCTCAGAACTTTCTAGAACGTTCTTGAACGTTTCAAAAGTAGCTCTTCAAGCATAAAAGCACAGGTGTTTCGAACCAAGATTCTAATTCGCGTTATTGCAAACTGAAAGGATAACGTATCATAGTTGAAGAGAAGTTATTTATTTGATATGGCATCAAGAGGTTGTTTTCATCTAGCTAATTCATTTTGCGACGTGTGCAAACAATTCATTAAGACACGCGCAATAAAAAACTTCGTGGAAGCAAGTCGTATAATGTGCGATGCCCACAAGACATACTTTAGCGTGCCAGTTGGGTACCAAGCATGCATTTGTCTTGGGAACTGCATGTGAAACGCAGTTCCCAAGACAAATTTTGGGAACTGCATTTTACATGCAAATATTGTAAGAAAACACTTGAAGGTAAACTGAACAGTTGCTTTTTGCTTAGATGTGTTTTAATTTATTTTCATAAAACTTCAATGCTTTGGATTTAGTTCATTTCAAGGAGTTACAGTTTTCAAAGTTTTGTCATAAGTCGTCTACTGTAGGCAAATACGTTAAACATCTTGAAATCGTACCATACTTTAAAATTTCTTGTCCTCAAATTATTATAATTATGTATTATTATGTGCTATATTACGAGTTGGCACAGAGGAGAGAAGCGAGCTATGAAGTTTAGTACCCAGCAAATTTGGTAGGAGGCAACAAGCAACTGCTGCTTCTGCATGGTAAACCCGAAAAATTGTCGCACCTGCAAAAATGCCCCTCAGATTGTTTATCTGGACATACTTTCCTCCATTGTCCCAGTACCACATAGCCCCAATCTGCTTGTTCCGACTCCTCCTACGCGACATCGGCTATATTTAGAAGACAGCAGCAAGTCAGATAGCAAGACAGATACTGTAGATATGAAATAAAACTCTGCAGATGAAGTTGGGGGTAGAGAGTGTTACTTCCCTTACCAAAAAGACATGAACAGTTTAACTAAAGACCTCTGGCTAACAAAATCGAATGCTGAGCTTCTGATATCCAGGCACAAACAGTGGAACTTAGGTGATGATAGCGTACAAGTCATGGATTAGTGAGAAGCGACATCAAAGATTTTCCAACTTCTTCAGTCAGCGTGGCGGGCTGTGCTTCTGTAACGATGTTGCCAGTCTATTTCAGGCTTTAGGTATTGCATGTAATTCTATAGAATGGCGTCTATTCATTTGCTTCACAATGAAAACAACTACCCGTATTTCCTGATGGCCCACTCTGTGCATCTCAAAGAGGACTACACCATTTAGTTACACCAAATGTTGTTGAATACATTAAAGTATGACGACTACAGATGGGAGGTTATAGGTGACTTGGTATCAACCCTTGTGAGTTTTCAAGAAGATTTTAAAAAACTTTCTTGTTTTCTCTGTCTCTGGGACAGCCGTGACTCTAAGGCGCACTATCGCACAAAAGACTGGCCACAACGGACCGAGCTTTCTGTTGGAAAAAGCAATGTAAAGTGGGAGCCGCTGATACAACTTAATAAAGTGCTTATGCCACCAATGCACATCAAGTTAGGTCTGAGGTCAGGGCTGTTATATTCGTTGGACCACAGATTAAGAAGGTTGTTGCAACCAAATGTTGCATTTAGTGTTGTTAGTCTAGATAAATTTAAAAAGTGGTAGTCAGTTATCAATAGGTTCTAAAACAATTAAAAAAAAAAAATTGAAATATATATATATATATATATATATATCGTTTATATTGTCGTTTGTTGTAGATCACAGATAATCTTTCGGTAATCTTTAGTCTACTGAGTATTCACTTGACATTAGCAGATGTAAAAGGAAGAGTCAAGAGACAAGGCCGATTTTTAGATTCGGCAAAATGAAACTTAGACTCTTTATCTCTAGTCAGCAAACAGGAGAATTAGAGGACCTTTTTTTTTAGTCAACAAAAACCGCAGGCCCGTAGCAACCGGGAGGAACAGCAGTGGCATTTGCCCCCTCAATAATTTTTCAAATAAATAATTGTGAAAAAATTGACTGAAAAAATGACTGAAAAAAAAAGGTCTTTAAAACTATTTCGGGGGCCCTTAATCCAGCATTGCCCCCCACCCTGTAATATAACTTTTGTTCCTCG